ACTAGTGTTAGAATTGATGTGAATGTTTGGCATGCTAAACTTGGTGACATTGGTCAGTAACGAATGAATAGATTAGCAAATGAGGGTTTACTAAGAAATATAGAAAAGTAGAATTATCTACTTGTGAGCATTGCCTAACTAAAAAAACAATAAGAAAACTATTTGGAAAAATCATAAGAGAAAATACTTCATTTTAACTAATTCATTCTGACATATGTGGTCCAATAAATGCGAGGGCAAGACATGATACTATTTATTTTATCACATTTATAGATGATTATACTTGATTCAGTTATTACTATTTGATATTCACAAATCTGAAGCTTTCAATTGCTTTAAAAAATATAAGAATTTAGTTGAGAATCAATTAAACAATAAAATAAAAATTTAAGAACCGATAAAGGACAACAATATTTATCTGATCAGTTCAGAGAATTTTGTGATGAAATAGGAATAAAATATCAATTAACTATTCTAGCAACACCACAACATAATGATGTTACAGAAAGAAGAAATAGAACCTTACTTGAAATGTTTAGATCTATGATGCACAAACTAATTTACCAATTGCCTTTTGGGGTGATGCATTATCTACCACATATATCCTTAACCATGTACTATCCAAATCAGTTACCACCACACTATATGAGTTATAGAATAATAGAAAACCAACTCCAAGTTTTTTAAGACCATTAGGTTGTGCCGCCTATGTTCATGAATCTTCCCACAAATATGAAAAATTAGTTCCATGAGGGAAGAAGAGTATCTTTATAAGATATTTTGAACAATAAAAAAGGTATGTGTTTATAAGCATGCAAGAAATGGTCATGTAACTTAATTTGAATCACGAGATGTCACAATCTTAGAGAATGATTTTTCTAAAAATGGTGAGATAGGTCAAGACTTATCTCTATATGAAACTCAAGACCAAACTGTTTCCACCCGACAAATATAAATGGACTCACTATATTTGAGTGTGAGTGATATGAGATTCAATAAACATGTTTCAATTGAAATCCAATCACAACCAATGGTGGGCATAAGTATAGAAGTTGGTCTCAGTGGGGAGTAACTTATAAGAATCTCAAATACGTCGAATAAATAGGAAAAATGTTCTTCATTATTGTTTTGAGATTGAATGGAGAATATTCTTAGTTACTCAAGAAGATGAAGAACAGCAAAGAAATATAAATGAGGCTTTTAAATGCCCTGCAAAGGAAAAATAGATAAAAGTAATTGAAGAAGAAATGGAGTCCATAAAATCTAGTAAAGTTTGAGAGTTGGTCAATTTAGCTAATGTTGACATGAATATTTTATTTCTTAAATAATTGTGATATTTTTCCTATATAGTTTTTATTATTAATTTCTCCTATAATATTGTAATTATTTAGTATCCCTACTATAGGGGTAATTTTCCTATTAGTACTTGGAAATTTTATATATATTTATACCAAATATATTGAGGAAATAAAGAAGATATTTTTCTCCCAAAATTATATATAGTATCATAGCAAAATAAGAGTAGTTTAGGATTTTTAATTTTTGGGATTTCTTTCAAACCCTATAATATTCTCAACACCCACCCAAATGGAGTCCCAGCCTCACCAGTAGCCAGTCGCCCTATTCTGGTGATCATCTTCAACCTACCTGATCAATCTGCTCCAGTCGCACCAGGCTATTCGCGTTGTGTCCTCGCACATGACCTTTAGTTTTCGCTGCTCCCTGCTCTGGTTTGTACAACTCTTCGCACACAGTGTCTGATTCCATCGCTCACACCCGGCGTGTTTTTAGTTCTATCGTAGACGCCCAGCACCTCTGGTTCTATCACGCACACCCTGTGCACTTTTGTGGCTCAGTCGCACACACTCAACATCTCTGGTTTGTGTTGCTCCTCTAACTCCTTCGCGCACAGTGTCTGGTTCCGTTGCGCACACCCGGAGTGATTTTTTAGTTCACACACGACTGCTACTTCATCCTAGGTTTCCAACAATGACACCTCTGTTTTTCCAGTTTCAAGCTTTTGATTCAGCCTCTCTTTCTCTCTGGGTTTTTTGTTGCCATTTGCTACTTTGTTCCACTACCCACTTCAGTACTTGTTTCTAGTAATCTTCTCTGGTCTTGCAGTAATTTTTTAGCTTTACTGGTGTTTAGGAGGTTTGTTCTCTCTCTATGATATTCGATATTCAAAATTATTTTCGTGTTTCTAGTACTTAAATAGGACAGAAGAAAAAAAAAACTAATTGTTCTTAGAACCCATCATTGCGAATAAGTCTTATAAAGCTTGATGGAACTAATTACCATATTTGGTCAAGATCTTGATTACTATTTAACAAAGCCAGGAGATTACAGGGTTATATTTTGGTTTTGTCGCAGACACCCAGCGCCTCTGGTTCTGTCACGTACACCCTGTACGTTTTCGTGGCTCAGTCGCACACACTCAACATCTCTAGTTTGCGTTGTTCCTCTAACTCCTTCGCGTACAGTGCCTGGTTCTGTCGTGCACACCCAGAGTGATTTTTTGGTTCACGCACGACTGCTACTTCATCCCGGGTTTCCAGTAACAACACCTCTATTTTTCCAATTTCAAGCTTTTGATTCAACCTCTGTTTCTCTCTGGGTTTTTTGTTGCCATTTGCTACTCTGTTCCAGCACCCACTTCAGTACTTGTCTCCAGTAATCTTCTCTGGTCTTGCAGCAATATTTTGGCTTTGCTAGTGTTTAGGAGGTTTGTTCTCTTTCTGTGATATTTGATATTCAATATTATTTTCGTGTTTCTAGTACTTAAATAGGACAGAAGAAAAAAAACTAATTGTTCTTAATTCTGAGAACCCATATTGCAAATAAGTCCTGTAAAGTTTGATAGAACTAATTACCATATTTGGTCAAGATCTTGATTATTGTTTAACAAAGCTAGGAGATTGCAGGGTTATATTATCGATGATGAGAAGAAAGTAGATATCAGTAGTTTAGAATATCATATATAGGACTCTGAAAACTTATTGGTAATATCTTGACTCATTAATTCCATACAACCTCACATTGCCCAAACATACCTATTGCTTGATACTACAACAAAAACATCGAATGCAAAGTCTCTTACATATTCATAAGTGGGTAATGATGCTCAAATTTATGAACTTTGGAATAAGGTTCATAGCACAAAACATTGAGAGTTGACTATCTCTTAGTATTTTTATGAACTTAATGGACTATGGCAGGAGCTTGATTACTATCAAGATTTTCAAGTAGATTACCTCAGTGATACTGTCAAATTTCAGAAAATACTAGAAAAAGAGTGTATTATGATTTCTTGGCTGGTTTGAGCGCCAAATATGATCAAACATGAGTCCAAGTACTTGGTAAGGATCTCATTCCCTCATTAGAACAGACTTATTCTTATTTCAGTAAGAAGAAAGTAAGAGAATTGTCATGCTCCACATAGCACCAGTTAAAAAAATTAGGTTAATTACTCAATCTGATCACTCCAAAAACCAACGAAAAATTGTGATTATCGTGGCAAGCCAAGACACACTAAGGAGACTTGTTGAAAATTGTATGGACGACCCACTAGAGGTCATGGGGAAAGAAAAGGTGGACCTATGAGAGCTCAAGCAAACTTGGTTGAGGTAAGTGAAGCACGAAACACACAAACAGTTGAAACTTTTTCAATCGAATAGCTTCAAAGTTTGAAACTTATTTTGTCTCAACTCAACTCTTCAATGACTATTGATACATCAAATATGATAAAATTAAGTATTCCTTCTCTCCACCTTATTTCCACTCTTGATATTTGAGTAATAGATTATGAAGTTAACAAACACATGACAGGCTCTTCCACTGAATTTCTAACTTATTTTTCTTATACTAAAGGAGAGAATATTTGTATAGCAGATGGGTCATGCACTCTTGTGTTTGGAACAAGTTTCATTAATTGTACTCCAACTATTACATTGTCTTCTATTTGTATGTGTCTAGTTTTTCTAATAGTCTATTATCTATTAGTGTCATTACTCGAGACCTACACTGTAAATTGAATTTTTTTTTATTATTGTATCTTTTAGAATCTTTGAATATGGAAGATGATTGATATTGGTAGACTGTAGGATGACTTATATGTATTGGAAAGAAATCAGAATCTGGTTGGGAATCAAGCGACTATTGAGAATAAGGAAGACATTTTAGAAATTCTACAATGGCACCAGCAGATCCGGCACCTTTCTTTTTTTACTTTTGAAAAAGTTTATCTTACTTTATTTAAGAAAACTTTTTTGGATTCTTTATGTTGAGATGCATGTAAATTTATTTAACATAAAAAAAGTTCTTATCATTTGAGTAATAACAGAAGTTTTATTCCTTTTATGACTATTCACTCTGATATATGGGGACCGACTCATAATACCTTTCTATCTGGTCATCGATAGTTTGTTATTTTTATTAACTATTATACTTGATTAACATAAATTTACTTGTTGAAAACAAAAAATGATGTATTCTCATGTTTTCAATTATTTCATAAAATGATATGTACATAGTTTAATGCCAAAGTTAAGGTCCTGAAAACTTATAATAGTACATAATATATGGATAGTGAGTCTCGTACTTATTCGGAGTCCAATTAGATAATTTATCAGACAAGTTATGCCTACACCAGTGAATAGAATGAGGTTGTTGAAAAGAAAGACATACATATATTAGAGGTAGCTAAGTCACTGATGTTCACCATGAATCTACTAAAAGTTATTGGGGAGATGTAGTTCTCTCAGTAACCTATCTTATTAATAGAATGTATTTGCAGGTACTTGATTTTATAAGTCCTCTAGAAGTTTTACAAAGTATAAATTCCTATATTATTCCCCCAAAGGTGTTTGGATGTGTTTGTTTTGTTCATGCTAGAAATGTAAGTTAGAACCTAGAGCTCTCTAGTGTGTATTTGTTAGATATTCTCCTATCAAAAGGATTACACGTGTTATCACCCATTATCTAGAAAATACTTTGTGACTATGGATATTATATTTCAAGAATTAGAACCATACTTCAGCACTTCTTCAATACCTTTTCAAGGGGAGAGTGAAATGGAAGAGGTGATGCATAGTTTAATGCCCCCTGATAATCAAATTAAAGGGGAGAATTCTATGTCAGAAGACCTTGTTCAAGAAGAAAATGCTGAACAACTGAATAACCCAGACTTGAAGAGGTATTCAATAAGAGATAAAACAGAAAAAACCATTTTGTAGCCTATTCTAGTTCAAGAATCTTCCTCAGTTTCTGAAGATACTGTTGAATCATCTTTTCCTTATGAATTATCTAATAAACTCATTACTCTTAGAAAATGAATCAGAACTTGCACTAAATATCCTATGTCTAACTTTGTTTCTTATGACTTTCTATCTCCCTTCTATAGAGCCTTTGTCTTATTTGTTTCCTCTGTGTCTATTCCACATGATTAGAGAGAAATGTTACGAGACTCTAAATGGAATGAAAAAATGATTGAAGAAATGACAACATTGGTAAAAAATGAAACGTGGGAGTTTGTTTCATTCCCACAAGAAAATAAGATAGTTGGTTGTAAATGGGTGTTCTCTGAAAAATACAAAGTTAAATTAGTAGATAAAGAGTTTACTCATATCTATGGAGTTGACTATCAAGAAACCTCTGCACTTGTCGCAAAAATGAATACAATAAGAATATTATTATCCTGTGCTGTTAATCTTGATTGGAACTTACACCAGTTTGATATGAAAAATGCCCTCCTCCATAAGAATTTAGAGGAAGATGTTTATATGGACATTCCACTTAGATTTGAAAATGAAGGAACATAAGGGAAGGTTTGCAAATTAAAGATGGCATTATATGGATTAAAATAGTCTCCAAGAGTATGGTTTGAAAGGTTCAGAGGAGATATGATTTCCTTCAGATATCAGTAAAATAATGCTATCATACCCTGTTTATCAAACATTGGGAGGATAAAATCACTCTTCTAATTATTTATGTAGATGGTATTGTGGTGATTAGAGATGACACAGAGGAGATGACTCGACTAAAAGAACTTCTTGCTCGAGAATTTGAAATCAAGTATATAGAAAAATTGTGGTGCTTTCTGAGAATTGAGGTTGTCAGGTCTAATAAAGGAATATTCATTTCTCATAGAAAGTATATTTTAGATTTACTATAGGAGACTGGAATGATGGGTTGCAAGCCAGTAGAATCTTTTATTGAAAGTAATCACAAACTACAAGCTGGTAATGGTACATCAATTGACATGAAAAGATATCAGAGATTAGTTGGAAGACTTATTTATCTCTCACATATCAGACCAGATATAGCATATGTAGTTAGCCTAGTGAGTCAATACATGCATGACCCTTGTGAGACTAATTTGCGATATCTAAAATCTGCACCTAGAAAATCTTTACTCTTCTCGAGAAATGGTCACCTTAAGATAGAAGCATTTACAGATGTTGATAGGGCTGGATCTCCAGATAATAGAAGGTCAACTACTAGTTATTGCACACTTGTTGGAGGTAACTTGGTTACATGAAAAAACAAGAAGCAAAGTGTAGTTGCCTGTTCTAGTGCTAAAGAAGAATATAGAGCAATGGCTTAAGGGGTATGTGAATTATTATGGTTTAAAAAATTAATGAAGGTATTAAAACTGTTTAAAGGAGGAAACCTATCATTGTTTTGTGACAATAAAGCAGTTATTAGTATTGCCCAAAATTAAGTTCAATATATCGGACGAAATACATCGAAATTGACCGTCATTTCATAAAAGAAAAAGTGGTTGATGACTCATTATGCTTATATTATGTATCTTCTAACAATCAGGTAGCAGATATCTTCACTAAAAGACTTTATAACAAAACTCTCTAGAACTTGATATGCAAGTTGGGTATATGCAATATCTTTGCACCAACTTGAGGGGGAGTGCTGACATTAGTATTTTGTTTCTTAAATAATTATAATATTTTTCTTATATAGTTCTTACCATTAATTTCTCCCATAATATTGTAATAATTTAGTATCTCTACTATAAGGGTAATTTTTCTATTAGTACTTACAAATTTTGTATATATATGTGTTGTCTATTATACCAAACATATTGAGAAAATAAAAAAAATATTTTTCCACCAAAATATTACACCTAAAGCAAACAAAGCCATCAAGAACAAATGAGTTCTTAAAATAAAGTGAAAAACTTATGATAGTATTAAAAAATACAAAGTTGTCCTAGTCGTGAAGGGGTATACACAATGACAAGGAATAGATTTTGAAAAAACATTTTCATATATTGTTAGATTTACCTCAATCCAACTAATATTAGATATAGTAGCATGCATGGATCTTGAATTACATTAAATAGATGTAAATATTACTTTTATCAATCGAGAATTATGAGAAGAAATCTACATGGAACAACCAGTAGGTTCCATTGAAAATGGCCAAGAGCACAAAGTGTGTTGACTTTTAAAGCAATATATGATCTTCAGTAGTTTTCAAAACAATGGGTATATTTGGTTTCATAATGCAATAATGTCGCATAACTTTAATATGATTGAGAAAACTACTGTGTATATATTAAAGATCTAAAAATAAATTTTTTATCTTATATTGGGTATATAGATGACATACTTATAGCTGAAAATGATGAA